GGGCGGGGGGGGCGGGCGCCGCCCTCGGCCTCAGCCCGGAGGGGCCGCCCCTCTCTGCGGCTGCCTAATTTTTCGCTCTTCTAGTCTCTCTGGAGAGCGGAGTCTGTAGGGCACGCTGCCTCCGCTGTTCCCCAGTCAGCCTCCTCCCCTTCTTACTCCGTCGGTGAGGCTTCTGCCTCTTTCTGCTGCTGCTCCCCGCGGGGTGGCCTCCTCAGTCCCTTAAATGCTGGCTGAAGAGACTGTTTCACCTCCAAAATTATCCTTTCTTTGCTGGCTCATATGCTTGTCCTGTTACTTTCTGGGAACTCAGGGGGTGCTGGTTACAGAAGAGTCTTTTTGAATTGGAACAATTAAAGAACGTTTGGCCTGTTAAGCCCTTATTGGTCAATGTCACAAAATCTTCCATTTGCAGTGTTGTCACTGTGTTCACAGGTAAGGCAAACTGCCCTTACTATGCCAAAGCCGAGCTCCTGGCTGACTATCTCCAGGCTAACTTGCCAGACTTCAGGGTTCACAAGATCCCTCAGCACCCTGACAAATGGGAGGTAAGGGATGGTGAGTCAAGTCGTTGGTAGATGCCCCAGTGCTCTACAAAGCAAGGAATGTGCTTATCTGTAGTATGCCTCTTCTTGTCCTTTATTAGCGTTTTGATATGTGGGTAGAGGTGCTGTGAGAGCCAGCCAGAGGAAAGCTAAAGCTTTGAATGTTGTGAGAGACTGGCATTCTCGTGGGTCTTACCACAGAAGGTGGGCACAAAATGAGGGCCAGCCTCAAGCTGTGTTTTGTCAGTAAGAAGTTAAAGTTTATTAGGTTTTTATTATGTATAAATGGCTGCTCAGCCTGTAAATCTTTTGCGAACTGTGATTGCATATGCCTTCAGAGTTGTTACTTGTCAAGAACATTTCTGGCATTCAAAGGCTTTGAATTACAATGGAAATATGAAATTAAATCTCATATATTTGTTTGCAATGTGGATGGGCCTTTCTGACCACTTTTGCTGTAGATGTGTTGCCATGTCTACACTGTAGTTCCTATAAGGAACTGAAAAAAATTGCAGTATTTCTTCATGAGATAGATACGATGTTTACCTCGTGTCTTATGCTTGACACTTCAGCCAAGTAACTCAAACAGTTAAGGGAATAGCAATTAACCTCTGCAGCTTGCTTACCTTCTGCAGCTAAATAGGGATCCTCAGATTACTCGCTGCTTCGCAACATGGCTATCTTTAGTACCGCTAAGCTAATTGAGCAAAATTACAGCAGTAAAATCAAGCAGAAGTAAGACCTGTTGCTCTTTTGCTGAGGTATCACAGTGTATCCCCATGCTTTGCGTTGTGTTATTCCCCCGTTTTGCACACACTGGCATGTGAGTACATTGTGAAGCACTTTGTAATTATGTATTGAGAGGAAATAATAAGAATGTTTATAGGTGTAACATTTAAGTGTTATCACATGTGAAAAAGTATTAAAACCTTTTGGCGGGAATGTTTACGTTAGCAGTGGCTTCATGACATTTGTGAAATGAATGGCTGGGAACACAGACAGTCTCCTATCATTTGGAGAGAACTGTTGGACCGTGGAGGGAAGGGTCTGCTTCTGGGAGGAGTTAATGATTTTCTGGAATATGCTCAGGTAATGACCTGCCTTTAATACTGTAAACCCATATTTTACATTTTCTTATAACATTGTTGTTCTTTATTCCTCCTACAAATGTAAAATAAAGCTATCCTTTCTAACGTTACCTTGCTGTGTTTGGGTTCTCATTTGATTAGAGATGACCCTTTTTGTTCTTAGCATTATTATGGCATCACCTCAATGATGTTGAGTGAGGAAATGCTAGATGTTGCTGAGGAGAACCTGCAGGCGCATATTGAAATTGAAAAAGAACAGGAAGAGATTAAAAGTCTTATCAAGCCTTTGCAGATCTGGATCACCAGGTGAGAGTAAAAGGAATATCTATGAAGTTTCACTGAGCTTCAGAAGAATGCATTTTTTCTGTCATGTATAACAGATATAACTGTCTGAAGTTATACATGAATCCCTGTAATTTGCTGATTTGAATTAAGTTCTGCGCCCCTCACTATGAGCATTCAGTATATAATTTAGAAATTATTTCTACTTTTGTTACATTTTGCACCAGTCTAAGTGAGGGATCTGAACAGGCAACATTTAGACCTCAGACCACCTTAGGGAAAAGCAAGTATTTACAAAATAAGCTAGGAATTTTGTAATGCAACTATCTTGCATTAAATGTTTTTGGAAATATTTAAATAAGTAAAGAGTCTCTTGCAGTTCTAGCTTTAGAAATTTCTGCATTTCTGGTAGTCCTAACAGAGTACCTTAAAAAAATTGTGGTTCTTTAAAGACACCAATTTTTAAGTGACAGTATCCTGAAATGTATAGGATGGAAAAACCTTCAAATGAAAGGAGAACCCAACTGTTTTAATTTTTAACCCGTTAAAATGACAGAAACAGCAATAAAGGATCCAAGCTAATGGTCTGTTTAAACATAATGAAATACAAAAGAAAGATCTTTGTGTTTGTTTACGTAATACTTCCAAACAAGCAGTGGTTAGTGGTTAACTATAATTTTTCTATATCCTTCTCTTATCAGTGCATCAACTTCAATCTGTTATCAGCTGATCCCTCTGTTGGCCAGTGGAGAAGTGTTTGGGATGACCACAGAAATCAGTATCCATTTGCTTGACACTGTCCAGTTTAAGGACGTTCTTTGCGGTATTGTAATGGAAGCTGAAGACATGGCGTTCCCACTCCTCCGCAGTATTTCAGAGCATACGGAAATCGATGAGGCTTTTATTCAAGCCGATATTATCATTGTTCTTGATGATGTCCTCTTAAACCGTGAAGTCCAATCCCTTGAGAACTACATCAGAGAAGTGAGTGAGATCTGTCAAGTGTATGCTCCCCTGATTGAAAAGAATGCCAAGAGCGGGGTCAGAGTAATTTCATCAGGAAAAACCTTTGTAAACCTTAAGGCAATGATGATTATGACATATGGACAGTCCATTAAGCCTGAAAATGTCATTGCTGTTGCGACATCCTGGGAAAGTGCAGCTAAAGCCACGCTGGCCAGGAAGCTGAATATGAATGCAGCAGGTGAATATTTATGTGTTCTGGTAGCATTTGGGGAATTCAGTGGATGGGCACCGTCGAGAGTACATATTTCATTGCAGAACACTGCTGATGTGCATGCAGAAATGCAAGCACAGCAGTGCACCTACTGAATTGCACGGCTGTGCAGAATGCCAGGGTGTGACTAGCAGGCACTACCATTCTCTGTTGCTTACTGCTATCTGGATCTGTGCTTGATCCTATGAATGTCAATTGTTTTGTTAACTCTTGGATGCAGCCCTGCCATTCTGGTGTGTATTTCATGCTGGAAATATACTAAGGAGGACTGAGCTGTGTTGCAGATCAGGAGCTAGGACTTCAGGATTGCATTTGCACTCTGCAGCGCATTGTTATTTTGGAGACACACAAGCTAGCTGTGAATAAACACAACAACATACTGCTGTGCAGATGAGAGTATAGTAGAGCTGTGTTGTAGTATTATATCCGGTTAATTAGCTTGCTTTCTCAGGTCAATTGTTATAGCTTGGTTATATTTGCATATCTGCATTGCATAGCAAAGGTGTGCTCCAACAGCCTGCTCAGCATCAGGATTCTTTCAATGTTGCAGGGGTAGGAACTGGTTATCAATGACAAGTCTAGATATTTTGGAGCCTAATAAAATAGAAAAGTAACTTAATAGGCTGAATAACCTATCAGCAGGTTG